ATAGCTGAGAGAATGTGATGGTCCAAGATCCCCCAGCTGGCTTTGTGGCTAAAGGAACTCATGATCTCCTGGTTTCTATTCTGGTACCATAACCGCTACACCAAACTGGCTCTCAGAGGGTAGTTTAGGACTGCTGTTGTCGGGGTTTTCTTGTTAGAGTTTGAGTGGGAGTCATTTAACTCTACTTTAAAACACAGTTAAATTATGATTTAAATAATTGGAATTTCACGGTCAACTGCTGGTCAAATATTGTTTTAAGTGACTTCACAGAATATTGGTTTCTCTCACAGATGTGATTTCACACCAGAATTCTGATTTGGATTTTATGCCACAGATACTCATTTTATTGCCCTCCACAAATCAAAACAAAAATATATAAAAAATGAAACACCACAATAGGAAATCAAGTGCTGAAATATATGTCACATTTTAATTGCACTGTTTAGCTTAGATCAGGCATGTCAAACTCGTGACGTCACATGACGTCGCGCAATGTATCGGGCCAGTTTTGCCATTGCCGGCAATGGGGTGGGCGTGGCTTCTATGTGACGCGTCTGGCCCGCGGGCTGGCAGTTTGACACCCCTGGCTTAGATGTTCAGGCAGCATCTTCCAGGTGGTGTTTAATTAATGGAGAATTACATGCAAGTACTGGTAACAATCCCGTAGCTTTATGTGTGCATGATTTTGGTTGTTTCAGGACCAGCTCTTGTCCTCTTTGGTGGTTTAGCTTTGGCTTGAATGCAGAAAAAGCAATAATCATATTCTATTTTCCCTTCAATGGAAAACCAACCAGCTCATGTTTTTTTTCCCCACGGCTACTGCTGATTCTGGGTAGTGGTGGTGGGTGGGGAGAAGAAGTGTGGCATCTGGAGCTTCTTCTGCCTTCTTTCTCTTTTGCATGGAGCAAAGCAGGGGATCCTGGTGCTTCCCATCCCAAGCAACCTTCTGCCTCCTGTTCCTTGGGCTAATCTGCAGGCATTGTTTAAAACAGATTCCCCCCCCCCCCCCGTCATTGCTATATCCTGCAATCACAATTTCAGCTATTAGAAAAAAAAATCCAGGTGACCAAATTGCTTGCAATTGTATCTTTTTGTGCAAAAGGATACCATGCTGTTGTTGTTAACCAGATCAATGTACACAAATGTGGATGCTAATTTTTCTATTGCTCCAGGATTGTGATTGGTTTTTTTGGGGGGGGATGCTTTATTGTTTTAACTGTTTTATAGTTTTAGAATGGTACACTGCCTAGAGCAGGGGTAGGCAATCTCGGCTCTTTTATGACTCATGGACTTCAACTCCCAGAATTCGTGAGTCAGCATAGCTGGCTCAGGAATTCTGGGAGTTGAAGTCCATGAGTCATAAAAGAGCCGAGGTTGCCTACCCCTGGCCTAGAGTTACTTGGCTGAAAGGATAGTTATAGAAATAGAATAAATAAAATTAAATAAATAAAACAATCATTTCACCTCTATTGAAAGGCTAATTATTCATCTTGTGGCAAGAGGAAATAACAATAGCTGGTGCTTAATTTTATACAATGATAGTTAAAAAAAAAACCTGGACAGGATAAATAAAATATGTAACAGCAGAGATAGATGTGTCCTAATTTGTATTCTAAAGAAAAAAGTTGGCAACTACAGTATTTAACTAGTTCTGACTAGTCAGAAATTAGGCCTCACAATATACTTCAGGACAAAACAACTTATTGACAAAGATTCTGTCATGAAATATTCGTACTTCAGCCATTAAAGTTTAATATCCTGGGAAAATGAGTGAAATCTGTGTGTCATTTTTTTCAAGTAATTTCTTTTAATTACAACTGACAGCCTATCCAACTGCTGGTAAGGCTTATTTACCTGAGGAAGGAAAAGTAACAGTGATAAAAAAAAATGAAATGGAGTACATTGGGGTGGAGGGGGGGAACAAATTAAAATAATTGAAAAACCTTAACTAGGATCATTCATTCAGACCTGTTAGGATGCATTTTATTTCAAGCTGCTAATTCAGTAATTCCTCGTAAGAGTATTAGAAGCGTATTAATAGCAGCTGTAACTAGTCAACAGCAGAGCATGTTTTTGCTTTTATTATTTTTTCTTTTATTAAAACTTTTTATTAAAAATTGCAGCTAATTTATTTATAAATACACCATTAGTGAGGGAACTAATATAACATCCCGGAACCATCCCTGAAGTGATAGAAAGTCTGTTGATTTGATGCAAAAGCTAGACTCTAAGACAGTGTTTCTCAACCTTGACAATTTTAAGGCATGTGGACTTCAACTCCCAGAATTCCACAGCCAGCAATGCTGGCTGTGGAATTCTGGGAGTTGAAGTCCACATGCCTTAAAATTGTCAAGGTTGAGAAACACTGCTCTAAGAGATGCTATAAGGCACTAATGGGGGAATGAGCTGTCACTGAATCCTGCCAGAGACACTGGAGGACAAGCTGTCCACTCATTGTTTGGTTTCTCCTGGATTTTGTTTCTTGTTTTGCAAGAATGTAATGCAGTGCTAGGAAATGCCCGTGTTTAGCATAATAGCTGTTACCGAATCACTGCAGTGTTACATTTTCCACATTTTTCTGCCATTATTTGGGAATCAAGCAGAGTGAACTAACTTAAATCCAAAGGACTTAAAAGACTGATGTAAATCTACATTTATTCATCCCCAGAAGAAACCTCAGATTTAAACTTGACTGATCTGTCAATCAGGCGAGCGTACTGTAGATATTTAATAATATTGCAAGCATAAAAATGATAATTTGCAATATAATACAAGACTTTCTAGCAAGCATATTGGCACAATATTTTGGATTGTAGTTTTTAAAATTTTGCTTATATCAAACGAAGAGCAATATATTAGCAAAAAGGAAGTCTCAGATTTTTTTGTTCTCTGCCTCTATTTCCTCACTCAGCCAAACCAAATACATCACACCATGTCCAGCAAAAGTTAAAAAAAAACAACCATCAATAACCAAGAGCTAGAAAGTTGATGTGATAAGCTAGTGGTGGTGAATCTATGGCACGCGTGCCAGAGGCGGCACTCGGAGCCCTCTCTGTGGGCACACGTGCCGTTGCCCCAGCCTTGCCTCCCCCCACGACCCTCTCACCAGCAGCCCCCCTGGAGGAGAGTCGCCCCCGAGTGTGGCCCACATGGAGCAGTGCAGGCAAGGACATGGCAGCCAGGCAGCGTAAACAAGACTCTACCCTCACGCCCCATCCCGCACAGTTGATGCTGCGGGGCATGGGCAGAGGGCGTGGCCGCCATGGCGCTGCTGGGCTGCCTGGGCAATCTGCGGTGGGCCCTGGAGGCGGTGAGTGGCCCTGCGGGCAGGCAAGGTGGGGGACAGGTTGGGGGCGGAGCAGGGGGTGGAGTGGGGGCGGGGCCAGTTTTTGGGCACTTGGTCTCTAAAAGGTTCGCCATCACTGTGATAAACTGTCTTTCATAAGATAAAAGCTGAAATGGACATACTTTCATATGATTTTGTTATTCTGTTTTATAAGATTATCCAGGGATTGGCTGGTCGCTTATAAATGAGCACTTTATAGCTCATAAAGTACGTATGTCCTGCCAACTCCCTCCCCCCCCACTGCATTTCTGGAACTTGGTGACTGGTTCCCATTTATGACCACTTGTACCGGTCATATAACTGTGGTTTATTATTATTATTTTTTTAAAAAACCAATTTCTGGATTTTTTTTATTTCTGAAAAAAATAATGCTCATTTGGAAGAATGGGTTTGCACTTACTATTATTATTATTTATTAAATTTGTTTGCTGCCCATCTCGCCGAGATGTTCACTTAATGACTGCAGATTTGCTTAACTGCCACCTAAAAAGCATTGTAAAATTGAAGCTGGTGATGTGGGTGCAACGTATGACCGTATCGATTGTGGTCATAGTCTAGGAATACCTGTATATGTGCCCTGCGGCTGCAGCCAGACAAAGCAGAAATATCAGCATCTCTCTGTCCTATTTTTTTTGTTTAAACCAAGTAATCAAAGAGAAATTATTTAAATTTTAAAAGTATGTCCCATATGAGATGCATAGGAAATCCCTAGATCCGTTGGGCAGAAGATGAAGTACTGATGGCTCTATGAAGATCCTAACTCACCCATTTTTACTGTATTGCAACACAGTATCCTATTTTTCTATCTTTTTTTTTTACTTCAGTAACTACTTTCTCTGGAAGAAGAAAAAAAGTGTGTTCACTGTTGGCTCAGTGACCAGATATAGTTACATATTAATTCTTTAGAAGTTCCTGAAAACTGTAGGAAACAGGTGAAAAAACAAAATGCCTTGAACTTTAAACCTGAGCCCAGTCTGTTTGAATAAAGCGAGTTTTAAGGTCACTCTTCACTCAGTGCTAACTTTCAAGAAGGACCCACATGCCAGGAGAGACTCCTGGGACCGCATCCTGTTGGTTCTTTGATGCTTTCATTTTGTAACTTGCTATTTTCTTTAGAGGCAGACAACGGGCTTCCTGCTTGGCCCGGCCGCTGCCCAACCTTACCAAATATCTCAGAAGCGTTTATGGCAAAACACCTTTCTTACATTAGCCAAGGAGGCACCAGTGGAAACCACAGCTCCTTTGAAATCAAAAGGTTAGAGCCTTCTCTCAGCGGTTGTCCACTACGAAACTATGAAATCCTGGTTTGTGAAAACAAACAGCATTACCACTATGGAACAATACCTGTGAGAATGCTTTGTATTTTACTTCGCAGACAGATTAAGGATTCAGTTATTTGAATTTCATTTGAAACAGGACCACTGTTTACGTGCAGCTGTCTTTTTAAAGGTCAAGAAGTCCCCGAAGAAACTTTAGGAAGGTATGAAATCATTTTTAAACATATGCATCTGAAAGGTACACAAGGCACGCTGAATCTCACAAAATTCTAGAATCAAATGACATCCTCCTCCTGTCTGAATTCCCAAGTGACTGGTGATCTGTAGCATTCCGGTGATATGTTCATAGTCTTCCATGAACCAAAACACTCCAATACCTGTTTTTAAGAATGGATGCAAACTCCTGCTTGAAACATGAGTCAGGCACAGGAGTGTATAAATGGCATTCCTTCCACACTGAAGTTGCAAGCAGCGTGTTCCACTTCAGCACTGGGCTAACATACCACTTTACAATGCCTTAGTAAGGCCGCACTTGGAATACTGCATCCAGTTTTGGTCACCACGATGTAAAAAAGATGCTGAGACTCTAGAAAGAGTACAGAGAAGAGCAACAAAGTTGATTAGGGGACTGGAGGCTAAAACATATAAGGAACGGTTGCTAGAATTGGGTATGTCTAGTTTAATGAAGAGAAGGACGAGGGGGGACATGATAGCAGTGTTCCAATATCTCAGGGGCTGCCACAAAGAAGAGGGAGTCAAGCTATTTTCCAAAGCGCCTGAAGGAAGGACAAGAAGCAACGGGTGGAAACTAATCAAGGAGAGAAGCAACTTAGAACTAAGGAGAAACTTCCTGACAGTTAGAACAATTAACCAATGGAACAACCTGCCTCCAGAAGTGGTGAATGCTCCAACACTGGAAGTTTTTAAGAAGAGACTGGACAGCCGTTTGTCTGAAATGGTGTAGGGTTCCTGCCTGGGCAGGGGGTTGGACTCGATGACCT